TCGTAATAGGGGTGAATCGTATCGCATCGCATCGCTAGCTACTTCATATGTATCTTCAATGTATCGTATCGTTGGCTATGCATCGAGATGCGTATCGCCTCGGCCTCAGTTATGGAGATGCACATCCCTAATATATATATATATGGATAGAGTTGCTTTACTATTCACCATTAATGTACATGACAGTTACTAAAATTGTCTTGTTTTATTTCTCTTTTATTCATTCATGTTGCTTGTGTGCAATCTTACATTGTGATTTGTTTTAACCAATGCATTGTAAAAAAGAAAAAAAAAAAAGTTACCAGGCAACTGGCCAGTAATTTTTTTTCATTTACCCAAGGACAAGTTTTATTCATTTAGAGCATGGCATGTATTAATTAATAAGATGTAGTCTGAAAACTGTTTCTGCCGAAACTGTGCCAACTATATCATTTTCTTAAACTCTTAAACTTTAATTAAAAAGGTGAACACGCTTTCTCTGTCACCCACTCATGTTTTTCCTGTGTCTCTCAGAGGAATGAAGGGGATCTTTTTCACAGACTGTGGCATGTGATGAATGAGATACTGGAGCTGCGACAGCAGGTTCTGGTGGGCCACCTCACTCACGACCGCTTGAGTGACATCAAACAGCACATCACGACACGGCTGGACTGGGGAAACGAGTGAGTTACACAGTCACATACCACAAATAAAAATACTGTCATTGTCGTGATGGTGTTTGTATATCTGTATGAGTTGTGTGACAGCTTCAAAGCCTTGCAAAATCATTCAGTTTGATTCATTTATGCCGTTAGAGTTTGGCTTTCCTGTCTTTGCCACATTGTGTTATTTTTTCAGTGATTGCGATAAAACAGTGGGTGGAACGCCGTGGTGGGGACAGTGATGATGAACTGCTGGCAAATGCTGGCCAATCTGTCAGCCATGTGCTTGAATGCTTATATGCGGTTTTTCTCTAAAAAATAAATCGCAGATGGTAGTAACGAGTGGGACGTGTTACGTATGGTTTTTTGGTGTCTTTCAGTACATAGTCGTTTTTTGGAGGGTTTACAATGAAATGGATTCTTCTCACATTTGATTCATGCTTTGTGAAGGTTACTGCAGATTGCTGTATGAAAATTACTACAAAATCAAACTATTTTACATTAGGGTTGCAAAGGGGTGGAAGATGTCCGGTAAATTTCCGGAAACTTTCCAAAAATCCCTGGAATATTCTAAAAATCCTGGAAAGTTTCCAAAATTTCTGGAATGTTTCCGAAATTTACTGGAATTTTTCCACCTTTTTGCAACCCTATTTTACATCCATGTTTTGATTTCAAACCTCTGTTGTGCAGCACTTTATTTGCCAAAAGATTAATTAAACTGCTAATGTTTTTTGATAATAAATTTTTACAAATAAAAATATATTAATTTGTATATTGTACATATTGTGCAACACAGAATTTCTGAAAAAATTAAAATGTCATTAACTATCATTTGTTAAAATTGTTATAAATTATAACATTTTTGAAGTTTTAGGAATTCAGTTGATTAGACATGCTTTTTCAGTAATTAATTAATCATAAATAAAACCATTAAAACAGAATTCAGAAAAATCAAAACAGAAAACATGGAATTTTGGAAAAATAAAATGGAATTTGGGGGGAAAATGTTTATCAGATTTCATAGGGCCTTATGTTTATAACAACCAAGACAAAAACTGTTGATTACAAAACAATTACATAATTTGTAAAATCAAATAATGACAGAAAAATAAACAAAAATCTGTGTTTATGGCACATTTTTTCAATGATGATTTATGTGTTTAATTGCAATTAATTAAATACATTTAATTTCATAAATTTAATATAATGTAATTTAATGAATAATTACAAATAGGGTTGTCACAATACTTTACTTATTTTTTATGCGTTTTTTATTTATATATTTAATATTTTTGATAATAAAATATCAATATTGTGTATATTTTTATTTAATATTAAATATATATGTGTATATGAAATAAAAAATATGTCCCTAACAAATCTGTATTTTTATATGTTGTTGTTTAAATCAGAGAATAGTGCTAAAATAAAAACTAATGCTAATGCTAATGCTAAATTATAATAACCATGGTGGGATTTGATGGGTAGAATCAAAATGTGTGTTTTTGTGTGTGACAGGCAGCTGGGTTTGGATCTGGTCCCCAGGAGGGACTTCGGCATGGTGGACCCTGATGAGATCAGCATCACAGAGCTGTATCGGCTGGTGGGTAGTCATACATTCACGCTCACGTACATGCATACACACACACACACACACACACACACACACACATTCCCTTTACCCATGAGTCACCTCACCCCCCTCCTCTGCCACCCATATTTTTTGCTGTGTTACTATGGCAACTGCAGCTCGACCTGACGCCAAGGCTTTCTCCCGAGTGCTTCGTCCTGTGTTTTAACAAAGAGACACACACACACACACACCTCCAGTCGCCTGTGTATAGGGAAATGATAGTAATTAAGGACTAAATGGTGCATTAACAGGCTGTTTGCAAACTGCAGAGACACTTCACGCATGCAGTTTCCTGCCCTTATAATTTGGAATACATGCAGCATCATTGTCGCAATTGGTTTATATCTCTCAAAGCCACAACATGCCTGTGTACAGATCTTTGCAATATAATATCTGTTACAAAACCTAGTCAGCCGCCTACTGCCGACATAAACAGCTGCCAGCTAAGGGAACATCCTAACTGACATAGAACATTTTCTGTTATTTTATTTGATAATTTTTTTATTTTATATATTTTTTAATTTGGTAATTTTTATTTTATAATTAGTTAATTAATTAATTTTTATTTTATTTTATTGTTTGTATTAGATTTTATTCATTACACTTAAATATTAATTAGTCTTGATGTTTTAAATAAGACTGCTTTTTTATTAACTACACCTCTCATCATTAAATATCCATAGCATTTTTTATTACTTGGCATTTTTAGCATATTTTACTACTTATTGTGAATAGTATAAATAAAAACAATTAAAACAAATATTATTGTATATTCAATTTAAATACTGTTGCTTTATAACTATACTTCTCAGTATTAAATATACATAGCACACACACATTTGGGGTAATATAGTCATAAAGTCATAATATAGTCCTAAAATAAAAATGTTATTTATTTTATAATTAACTATTTTTATCTATACTTCTCAGTACTGAATGAATAATAGTATAAAAATATTTAAAAAATCATAGATAATTGCTATGGAATTACATTCTCTGCAAAGGAAACATTTGGAAAAATAAATTTCTGCATCAGAATTTGGTTAGAAGAAAAGTATCTTTGTAGGCTGCATTATGAAGTTAAGCTTTTGTATCAGGAGAGCATCTGTAATGTCTTAAAATGCTGAGAGCTAGTAAGACAATACCAGTATAGTCAAAATTCACCAAATTCTCTGTCTTTTTCTCTCAGCTGCAGGCCTGACCACACGTGTCCCAGTTTCCACTGGTCCATAGGTGGGCAGAGGTGTGGGGGTAGGGGTTAAAGGAGGAAGGAAAGAAACAAAAGAGAACTTGATGTGGGTGTGGATGTACTAGACTAGAGAGAGCGTTTCAAGAGAGGATAGTGGGAAGTGAGGGCGCAAGCAAAAAAGACACCAGTGTGGCGTCCCCAGGGTCAATTGCCGTTTTGAAGGATCTTTCTGTTCAGAAGAACACAGGAAGGGTCCAAAGCTTAAAGATGAAACCACAGTGCTAGGGTTTTAATGATCTGTTATTACATTATATAATGGAATAATGTAGTAAAAGTTATTATAATTTGATATATATGGTTTATAGTGAAAAATACATAGGTTACATAAAGCTTTAGTTTTACTTACTACATTCAATATAAATGATGCATTTTAGCAGTATTGCATGATTTTTGTTTATGTATTTTTACACAAATATACAGTATGTGCTGCTGTAGTGGTGGTTAAATTGGTGGCTGTTAGATAATTTATGGAAATTTTGAGTGATCGTGTTGTAAATGTCTTTGTCATTATAATGATTAATGATTATATTTTGGTTTCTTTTGAATAGATGGAGAGATGTCATCGTAGACGCGAGGCTTCCCCACAGGCCAGTATGCACCACCTGTTCCTTCAGATGAAGAGCATGATGAGTTCAAATCTGGGGGAGGAGCTGGAAGTCTTCTTCTCAGTCTATGACAGCAGAGAAATGCGACCAATCAGGTGCCATCTCCAATCCTAGACACCCAATCGCAAGTCTTAAATTGAGTGGAGTATGATTAAATCACCCAAAAATGAAAAAGCAGGCATCATTTAATCATTCTCATGTTGTTTAAACCTGTATGACATTCTTTCTACTGTAGAACACAAAGATATTTTGAAAAATGTCTTCCATACAATAACAGTCAGTGGGGTCCAGTGTTGTCTTGCTTTGGACCCCATTGACTTTCGTTGTATGAAAAGCTGAAACATTCTTCAAAATGTCTTCTTGCATACGTAAAGGGATATTTCACCCAAAAATAAAAATTTCCCCATGATTTACTCACCCTTAAGCCATCCTAGGTGTATATGACTTTCTTCTTTCAGACGAATACAATCTGTCCAAGCTTTATAATAGTCGAGATTTTGAAACCCAAAAAAGTACATCATAAAAATGCTCCACGCGGCTCCGGGGGGTGAATAAAAGGCCTTCTGAAGCAAAGCGTTTGTGTAAGAAAACTATCCATATTTAAAACTTTATAAACCATAATCTCTAGCTTCTGCTAACTGTCGCACACGCGCTCACGAAATAATGGCTTTCCAGCGGAAAGTGTCGGAGGATTTCGATAATCCAAATCCAAATTTCGATTGCTGTGAACAAAACTTGGTTCTCGCAAGACTAGCATATTCTTACTGGAGTTTACTCTGCACCTACGTCATTGGACTTCAAAATCTCAACCCCCATTTACTGCCATTTTAAAGCTTGGAAGAGCCAGGACATTTTTAATATAACTCTGATTGTATTTATCTGAAAGAAGAAAGTCATATACACCTACTATGGCTTGAGGGTAAATCATGAGGTAATTTTCATTTTTGGGTGAACTATCCCTTTAAATACATTTTCGTTAAACATTTGATTTGATAATGAGAAAGGTTATAAGTTTGAATGCAATAAAAGGCTTTTATGTTGACTACTCTCTAAGTTGTCCATCAGATCCGGCAATAAAAATCCCAAAAATCGATTCAGTCTGACCACGATTTCATTAATTATGAATCACTGTATTCTTTCTAGCTGTCTGAAAGACGTCTCCAAGCCCAACCAGTCATCTGTCAATGCGTTTACCTAGAGTATATATGTATGATGCTATCAGACTATTACGTTGATTGCGCTGCTACTGGGAACTAATATCTGAAATTCAATTCGGCTGTGACGCCAATGCATGTGTTTACCACTCTCCATCCTACATACATCAGCCTGAGGGATGTTTTAGTTTCACATCCATGACGGAACTACGGCCTTGATGTGTTTGTTGAATTTTTCATTGGTTTCTGTCTCTTTTTCTCTCCCTCTTTCTCTCTCGCCGCTCATGTTAGGGGGTGTACTGTTCAGGCACCCCTACTCGTTGTAAATTATTCAGAATGAGTGGCGCCCCAGGGCACTTAGTGAAAGTGAAGGAGAATCGAGGAGATACTGATCCTCAATGGGCCTCTCCTTGTAATTACCTAGCACTAGTGTCAGAGGAGATGCACTAACACATGCAGTTGCGGACGCACACGTACACACTTGCGCTCACACCGGTCTTGCTGTGTTTCCTTATGCTTCATGGCGTGTTTGTGGTGAACCTGACAGTCTCTCTCTCTTTCTGTCTGTGCAGTGAGAGGTTCTTTGTGCGCCTCAATAAGCAAGGGCTACCAAAGTCTCCAGAGAAGACTGAGAGGCAGTGTACACTCTTTGTTGTAAGTATGGACTTTTTTGGGGTGCACCAAGGGCATGTCCTTGGATCTTTTTCATTTGCTTTGGCATTGAATGGATCTGGTGCTGTTGTAGATAAATAGTTTCCTAAGTGGAACACATATCCTTGACTGAAAATTTTTGGAAATGGGGGAGGTTTTAAATTTAAATGTGAACAAAAAAAGCATTGTTTTGTGAATCTGAACAGGAATTTTTTAAGAAAATAAAATAACATTTTAGATGTGTTTTCTCAACAGTTATCATTTGTAAATAGCTAGAGTAAGACTGTCAGTCGATTAAAAATTGTAATCAAACTAAATATATGACATTGAGTTATTAATCACATTGATTGCAATAATCACATTTATCACTACTTGCTGTGAAAAACCCCCAAATTTAGATTATTTAAGGAATTAGATTTTTTTGTGGTAGACAAGCAGATCATTGAATCGACATTACAAAAAGTGGCTTTGGATGTCAAAATATTGACATCAAAATAAAAATATTTTATTGTTTCACTGTTTATGATGTCAGGAAATCTTGTGTTTTGTTTTCCTTGTTTTGTTTTGCTAGTTCTTTCATTTTTTTGTTCTTTTGTTGTTTGTTTTGTTTTATTAGTTCATTTTTGTTTTGTTTTGTTAGTTCTTTCATGTTTTGTTTTGCTAGTTCTTTTTTTTTTTTTTGTTCTTTTGTTGTTTGTTTTGTTTTATTAGTTCATTTTTGTTTTGTTTTGTTAGTTCATTTTTGTTTTGTTTTGTTAGTTCTTTCATGTTTTGTTTTGCTAGTTCTTTTGTTTTGTGTAGTTTTTTTTTGTTTTTTATTTTATTATTTTGTTGCATTTTACTGCATTGCATTGTTTTTGTGTATTTAATAGCAATAAATGAGCATGTTAAATTGACATACTTTATTTGATTGTTTAAATAGTAACTTTTAATAGCGTAGGTTTAGAGAATGTTTGGTACATGGAATCTAGTAAATATTGCTCAATAAATCATTTGTCTTTTTTTAAGGATTTGGGAAGTAGCGATCTTCGCAAAGATGTGTATGTTGTAGCTCATATTTTTAGAATAGGTAAGAGCTGTTGGATACACATCAATTTTCTCGCCGTGTGACCTGTCATAATGCCTTAGTGACTCTATCATAGGTGTCATATGGATTTCACAACTTGATAGTGCACTGCTTGATAGTGCTTTAAGATTTTTATTGACAGATTACGTCAGATGTATTCGTCAATAGTAATGGCAGCATTATAAGGGCTGAATGACAGGCCACTTCAAGTCGGTTGTTACCAAGATGGTGTCTCTGTCTGTAAACGTCACCTTTGTGTCTGTGTAGCAGTCGTCGCTACATGCATGGCCTGCACCGGTACAGATTCTGTGATGTTACAGTTAGGGATGTAACGATTACCGGTTTGACGATAAATCATGATAAAATTCCCCACGGTTAGTATTACCGTTTCATATTTTAATTATCATTAAAGCCGTGTTAGATTACCGCGATTTGAACAACTCACGATAAATAAATACTGTCCAGCATAAAGCACAGTTTTAAGTAACAGTCTCACGTGGTTGTTTGTTGATTTTTAAATATAAAACTTGGTGAAGTGATTTATGTGTCCATACTTTTTTAACATATCCAGCACATTTTAACAATACCGTGATAATACTGATAAGCGTGATAATTTTGGTCACTATAATCGTGCTAAGAAATTTTCATATCGTTACATCCCTAGTTACAGTATAGATTAATGCTCATTTGCATGTATGTGGACTGGGAAGTGTTCATTGTGTAACGGTTGTTGGTATGTCTATTTTTGTTTCAAGCGTCATTATAAAGACATAAGTGTTAATCATTCTGCCATAAGAGCTACATAAAACTGTGTTAGCGTGCGTTAGCTAACTCTGTTAGCGGCTGTAATGCTCAAGTTGTGTCACATCATGACACATTATGTCAAGCTTGTGACAGTGCTATGTGTTCTTTGAGGCAGAATAAGAAAACGTCTGTTACATTTTTTGTATTAGCTTATATGTTTATTCTCATAAAAGCAGTGTGTGAGCCTCAATATGTGTGTCCGCAGGGCGAATGGTCGCAGGTGAGAAGAAGAGCGTGAGTAACACGCAGTACAAGCGTCCATACGGTTGTGCCGTGATTAGCGTTGCTGACCTGTTAACAGCTGACTTCAAGGATGATCACTTGCTGAAGATTTACTCGTGAGTATTCAAAATTTCCTTCATTTCATATTACCAGGAAAATCATAAATATATTGTGATGATATTCAAATATATCACACAGCCTATAACTTGTTGAAATATATAGCAAACCTATGGCACAATATGTTTACAGATGTAATGCAGAAAGTGAGTGGTACCAAATCCATGACAGTATTATCAGGAAGGTCAGCTCACGATACAGCCATATTGGCTCAAATACAGGTAAGATTTAATTTTGCTTGTCTTCTTAAAGGGATAGTTCAACAAAAAATTATACATATGAACACAATGTCATGTCATTCCAAACCAGTATGACCTTTCTTTCTACAAAAGGAGAACTTTCAGTCTGTTCCTCACACAGTTTTTGGACAACTTTGGCTTAGTCAGTAACAGAAGACTTAGTCTATAATGCACAGAATTTCCATTTTTGGGTGAACTTTCCCTTTAAAGAACATTTTGTCTGTCATAGCAACGGTGTTCATCTGAAAATGTTGAACCAAGTGATTTATTTAATTGAAGTATTCAAATTGTACCAAATCATGCTGCAGAATTTCTTTTCTTCATGCTCTTTAGATATAAATAGCAGAACTCTTTACAGAGAAATGCCGGGGTCTCTCATAGCAACAGGTTCTGAGCAGCAGCAGAAGCCTGCAGTCAAAGCATACGCCAGTATGAATTCAACAGAGAGACCGAGGAGTTATTCAGGCGCTTTTGTTTTTATGACGTCTGCATGACTCAAAGAGTCATGGCCACTTTAATAAGACCAGCATTTCAAGAAGACCTTTGCACCAAGCTTATTTTAGGGTTGGGCATTTGTCATAATAGAATGTATGTTAATAGCTACTTATTATCATTTATTTTAAAAATGGTGGTGTCTTTTACTTGCAGTGGATTAAAGGTGAAGTGTGTAATTCCTGTGCACCATATCAGCTCACAAGAACAACTTTCTTTATACATTTTCTGAAGAAAACGTGAACGGTGCTTATCTGTTCTGTTGTGGCTAGTTGCCAGGGCACTTCTGTACGGTTGCTAAGGTGTTCTGAGATGTTTCAAGCAAGTTGCTCAGGGCTCGCAAAATCACTAGCGCAATGTCCCGGGGCTATTTTGTTTTCCAGTCGGGCTACCAAAATGCCCGACGAGGTATCTTGAATAGTGAAATGAAATCCCTTCCTTGGGGGTAATTTGTTTATTTGTTCTTATTTTATTATTATTTTTATTTATTATAGTTAAATTCATTTTGGGCTACCAAAATGTGAAGGATGCCTGCCTGAAGGGCTACCGTGGATTTTGAAATTTTGTGAGCCTTGTTGCTACAGTATGTGATGGCTGCAATGTTTGTTAGGTGACTGTTTACTGGCCCAAATTAAAAACACTGTCTTCTATGAAATCTCTATGATGTTCTAGAGACTATTTTATTTTATATTTTATTTAATTTTATTTGAATGTACTATATTCATATAGTGTTTTTATTTTTACATTACATTTTCTATGTTTTTGTATTTATGCTTTGTTTTTAGCTTTGTTTTTTGTTCAATTTAGTTTTGTAACAATATTTTTATTTACAAGCCAAATGCTTTGTTTTGGTTTGGCTTGTTTGGGCTTTTATTTGTTGTCTTTGTTTAGTTTTTTGGCTTGGTTTTGTTTTTTGTTTTGATTTGTGTGGCTATTCTGTTTTGCCTGGCTTTGTTTTGTTGTTTTATTTGTTTTTGTTTTGCATGGCTTGGCTTGGCTTGTTTTTTTGCTTTGCTTGGCTTTTATAGTTTTATTTGATTTTTGGCTTGGTTTTGTTTTCTTTTAGTTTTTTTTATTTATTTTGCACTTTGCTTGGCTTTGTTTTGTTGTTTTATTTTTATTTTTTTGTTTGTTTTTGGCTTGGCTTGGCTTTTATTATTATTATTTTTATTTATTTTTTGGTTATGTTTTATTTTGCTTGGCTTTATTTTGTTTGTGCCAATCTTAAATTTATATCAATGCCTGGTCTAGTCTTAGGTCTACAGACTCTTTTTGGAAGAATCCATACAATGGCTTACTTATACATGTCTCAGCACTTTTAAATGGGATAGGAATTATGAACAACTTTAAACAAAGAAGCCACAAACACAGACCTGTAATTCATTCAGCTAGATCAGAAAAAAACTGATCTCAATCAGCTTGTAAACGCCATCCAGTCATCTGCAGTAATTCAGTTACGCTAAATGAACGTCTTTTTAACTGATGACCATTAGTAGCTATTTATCAGTCACACACATCGGCTATTAGTGTGGACTAGAACGCCATATCGATCTCATGCACAGAGAGCAGTTGATCCTTTTCATGACATTGTTGTCACTTGAGATGTTTTAATGGCCAAATCGCCAGCTCTTATAGCTTATCTCTTGGATAAATGCCAAATTACTGTTATTGATTTTGCTGGGTTAAAAAACGGAACAGAAATAAAGAAACAACAATGCTGGTTTTAGGTTTAAAAAGGCAAACAGATGAAAGATGAAGTAGGGGTCTCTGAGTGCATGGTGTTGTGTTGTTGATGCCATGTTTTGTGGAGGTGGTGGAGTAGTAGTTATGTAATCTTGGTGTGCATCATCTCGCAAGTGGTTTCAAAATGAATGGACTGCTGGTGATTTCACTCGTGTGGGCAGCTTACTCTGAATATATTATGAAACCATAATGAAGCCATGGCTTTATAGATGCTTCCAGAGCTTATAAACCCATCAAACCTCATCTATGCAATCTGAAACTGAAAAATGTACCTGCAATGTTTGTTGTTTGTGAAGTATAAGACAGTTTTCCTGCAGAACGCAGGAGTCAAAGACCCTGAGGAAGACATCGGAGGCTTAAGCTTGAAGAAGAGGGCCAGATAAAAAAACGGAGGGAGTCAAAAAAGCCGATCAAGCAGGAAGGAGATTATGCAGTTTCTCTCATGTCAATCTAAACTGCAGGCTGTGTCCCTCAGCAGATGTACAGCAGGGTTATACTTGAGATGAAAGTCGTTTAGACAATTGAAGGAATGGGAATGGGTGAAATTTCCATGTGTAAGAACTCAACATCTAGCTGGGCTTTGTGATGAAATTACTCGAGAAACAAAGTCTTTCTTCAAAGAGACTGGAAACTTTAAAGTGTAAATCTAGTGCACGGATGTCAGAATCATTGGCTTTCATCAGTTGGATAAATGAGGGAGGCAGAGAAATGCTTGTCATTAAGTGTGGTGGAACACAATAAGATCTATTACTGATTTGATGGAGAGGTTTTGGTAACAAGCACAAATGTTACAAATGGGGATTAAGGCACCGGATTACCCATAATTCATTTAATCAAGAGGCAGCTGGGTCATTCCTGTTATGCAGGACCTTTTGAACTCTTCACTTTTAGAGTTTTAGAGTAATTGTGTGTTTTTTTATTACTTCGTAATTGCAAATGAACAGCGTGGAAATAAAACACAAATTTAGCTGTTTAGAGGGACTGACTTTCAAGTTGAAGTTAATTTTCATTGTTTATTTAGGGATATTAAAACTCAGCCTTGCGTTGTTCCTATATGATTTCTGTGGAACGTAAAAGAAGATATTTTAAAGAATGTTGGTAACCAGATGGTTTTGGGTCCTATTGACTTCCATAGTATGGACAAAAAATACAATGGAAAACAATGGAAACCCAAAGCTTTTTGGTTAACAAAATACCTTCTTTTGCATTCCACAAAAGAAAGTAAGTCATACATGTTTGGAAAGACATGAGGGTAAGTAAATGGTGACAGAACTTTCATTTTTGGGTGAACTATACCTTAAAGCGTGTTTTGAAATATTGATAAAATGACGGTGATAATGTTATCAAGCAGGATGTTTTAAAGCGAGACAAACCAACAAATAATACAAAATTTACCATATTGTTGCTAATATTTACTGACGAGTGTGCTGTTGTTTTCCCACCAAAAAATGATGTCATTTCCTGGTGGAAGATGTCATAAAAAGAACTTTCAAGTTAAAGGGATTGTACAAAAGTAACAGAGTGGAAGTGATATTGAAGACAAAGGGGAAAAAACATATAGATTTGTTACAGATTAAAATGTTGTTTTTTTTTTTTTTTGCTCTACAAAATTTTGCAGGTGAAATCTAGGTAATTTACAAGAAATTTTCCATAAGAAAAAAACATTTCCCATACTACTGCGCATCGCTACACTATTGACAGTGGACAATTTTTTGGCAAATTTTGCCTTTAAACTGTATTCAGAGGAAAATATGTTTCATTGTGAGATCTTTGTTATATTTCATAATAAAATGCTGGTTTTATAAGTACTTCAGTCTGTGTGCATTGAATTTATTTAATACACGAGTTTCACAATTTGAGTTGAATTACTGAAATAAATGAACTTTTCCACGACATTCTAATTTATTGAGATGCACCTGTATTACCACATTAGTGAGTGAATTGTGAGACTGAATGATACATATTCTGTTAGGACTATGTTCTCTTCCAAACTTTCTCTACATACAGTACAGTAACAGGAAATTCAGCTGTTTTTGTTGGCAGACACTTATGGTTGTTGTCTGTTTACATATGGTATAACACTGTCAGATTTTACCACAAAGATTCATTGAAATGCATTTGTGTTTATTTTGTAGGCCTTAATGTCTCTCTCCAGCTCCTGCATGGGGATATGGAGCAGATTCGCAAGGATTACATGCGTCTTTTCACCCGCAACGTCTCTATTTCTAAGAGGCTTGGTTTCTCCGATATCATCATTCCAGGTGGGATAATCGTGTTTTGTTGTCATTATGCTGCTTTTATTCATCACATTACCATTGAATTTATGTTTTGCAATGTTATGCAAATGAAATCTGTAGCTTTACGGTATATTTTGTCATTCAATCATATCATATGGTAATGTGGCCGCTCTGTGCCATTTGTAGTAATAGTTTAATCATGTCATTATGCAGTTAATTTATTGCTTAGCAGAGTAAATATAGGCTTTACAGGAACAAAATACTGGTTTTATTGAGTTACCATGAACTTTGAGAGATAACAGTGTCATATACAGTATATCATAATTTAACACAGACACATCTAACAAAGATACTACAGTCAAAATAGGACTGATTTTACAGGATGTTCTTGTTTTGCTCACTGTCACATAATGTACATGCACGACTAAGGATGATTTTTTTTTTTTCATGTGTTCTTTCCCTTTGTTTGACTGTAACAAAAAAATGGCTTGTATTCTGTCCTTTCATTACATGCAATGCACTGGTGCACCCACATTTTATTTGATATTTGCTTTCACACCCTCAGCTGGTGATGAGGCACCTTTGAGCCACATGTGTTGACAGAGTAATTAGAAATGTTTTGTGGTGTTTCTAACATCTCTGAGGATCTTTGACAGTTTCAGCTGAAATGTATTCACAGTTTTCTTATCCTGCTCAGACTTTATGTATGTATAAAGGAATGTGCCTTATATAAAAAATACATACAACAATGTTGTCTTGAAGTACATTGTAAACAAAGTATTCATGGTCAGTTATCAGTGTATCTGCACACAATAGGAAAATCGACTCCATTTTCAGCTACTTCTCCTGATAAGCTGATTTCAACACTTGATAACCGACTGGAAGTGCTGTGTTGGTGGAAAATGATTTCTGAGATATGGTTATCTTCCTCCTGCAGGTGAAATAAGGAACGACCTGTATGTGACCCTTGAGAGGGGTGAGTTTGAGAAAGGTGGAAAAAGCGTGGCGCGTAATGTGGAAGTCACCGTCTATCTGCTGGGAGGTGATGGGCAACTTCTGAAGGTGAGAACTGTCATTGGATGTCATGTGTTTTCTGTTACCATGTCATGTTGCGTCTAAATTAATAGATGTTTCTCTCACACTTTCAGTTTTCAGATGTTTTTTTTTTCTTCTCATTCTTTTCATCCAGTTTATTAACGTAATATGCATTCAACTTTGTGTCCTTTTCCTTTTTTATTTCTCTTGTCTTGAAGTGGAAGTGTAATATAATATAATAATGTTTATCAAATAATGTTATTTTTAAAAAATTATTCAGTATTATCTAGTTTTGAAATAAATACTCATCATTTGTTTACATGTCACTACATCACATTTATGTCAGTAAATAATTAAATACAAACAGTTTCTTTATCAAAACAGTAAAAAATATTTGACCATAATCTAAGTAATATTAATGATCTATGCTTTTGCATGTCAATTACCAGCCAAGTAATTTTTATTATTTGTTTATTTATTTATTTGGGAAGTTAAAGACTTAAAAAGAGCATTTTTGGTTTTCAGCTTTTGGCCCAGTGGATCCAAAATGTATAAAATCATTTATCATTTATGGTTCATGACTACTTCAAAATAACATACACTGTTGAGTGGTTCACAGTACGACTATCAGTATTTTTTCAAAATGTTATTGGGGTCAATTTCATGTTCTCCATTTCTCTCTCAGGGTCTGGTTTGTTGCGGCTCTGGGGAACCAGGAGTGGATGAGCACCGCTCTTATGTCCTGTATCACAGTAACAGCCCTCGCTGGGCCGAACAGATCAAACTGCCCATCCCTCTGGAGATGTTTCACGGCACACACTTACGCTTCGAGCTCAGGCACTGCTCCAGTAAGACTCCACTACGCATTCGCTTTTTTTCTTGAAAAGTCTACTTGCTATTCCATCTTCTGAGATTTTATGCTTTGTAATTATTGACTCATTTCACATAACTACTGTTGCCTCTGTTCATGCAGCAAAGGAAAAGGGTGAGAAGAAGCTTTTCGGCTTCTCTTTTGTCCCTCTGATGCAGGACGATGGGAGACCATTGCCTGATGGAACGCATGAGCTCATTGTCCACAAGGTACTGTCTCTTTGTGTATCAGTCTGTTAGTATGAATTGTATGAATCTTCTTCTTATATATATAGACTTTGTGTCTTACCAGAATTAACAAAGGAGAAAGCTCTTTGCAATTATTGAATGGGATCCTTGCTGCAAATAATGTTTGGGGATGGGAAAAACTTGCCTGTTTATCATAGATAGATAGATAGATGGATAGATAGATAGATTTTTTAATACAAAGTGATATCCATGGTTTCTTTGCATCTGTTGCGTGTTTGTGACATTTTTGGTCTTTGAACTTCACTGTCTCCCTCACAACAGTGTGAAGAGACAGCTGATCTCCAGGATCCTGCTCGGTACCTCAAACTGCCATTTTCCAAAGCCAGCCTCCAGCCGGGCAACAACCAGACAATAAAGAACAGCAAAGAATCTTTCTGGATCCAGTCGTCTCTCTGCTCCACTAAACTCACTCAGAATGGTGAGATGATGTTCCTCCTTACAATATAACAAAAAATTAAATTAAGTTATCTGGATTTGAGATATGAGATTAAGTTAAACCTGATCTGGCATAAACACATTAAGAAGAAATTAGGGGAGCGGGGCGATATATAATATACCACAATATAGTTATTTTTACTTTAAATAAGGTCTTTATGATATCAAAATTTTTGATACCATAGAAATTTCATAATTCTTGTCATCAGTGTCAGTATCACACAAAAAACTAATACTATCCTAAATTAACAAAAATTACTCAAGCTCACTGAAGACAAGTAAACAGTGATTGAATAACAATAAAAATCTATTTACAAGCAATAGGACAAAATATAAATAAATAAATAAATTTATAAATAAATAAATAAATAAGAAATAAGTAATCAATCAAAGTAATCAAATGTATAAAAACACTGCATTTAGTCAAGAGCAGTGAGAGATTTTCTCACTTTTGTTTGATTAGCATGAATAACAGACAGCAGGAATATTAGACTGCTGTCACTTTAAGAGCTGCCCGGATCCAGTATACTGTTACACATGTTTCCTTTCTCAGCTGTTTGCTTTCACTTAAGACGTGAATTACTGTGTTTATGAGGATACTTACAAATATGGGCATTTTGACACATAAAAGTGTGTATTTAGCCGTTCAAGGTTTCAGAAAAAAAAATCAGTTAAATCTGATTCTGTTGCATAATACTGAATAAAAATAATACAGTATTTTGACATTTAATATTAATATATTTTCTGTTCAATTTTATTGTTTTACTTTCAATAAAAGTGGTGTTATTTAAATGGCTTGTATTTTTTTTTATTTAGTAAAATAAAAGTTATTGAGTTAACTTACAAGTCTTACAAAATTATTTCATATTATCTAATAAAGTAATAAATAATTATTAAAAAGCATTTTTAACAAACCGGTTTGATTCAAGTACATCCAGAATTTTCGGTTTTGTTTTTTTGTGACCACGTAGCACAGCAACGTCACGTGAGCGTGTAACCGCGATAGAGATGATAGTCGAAAATCTCTACCAGTTGACGCATTTCTACCGGTTAATTGTGTCTACCGGTATATCGACCACCCCTAGAAGAAACACAAAACACAAACAAAAAAAATTTCTAGCAAGTAAATGTAAAATGGAAATGATTGTCTCAGTCAAGATCTCAGATCTATCCCATCCAGTCTGATGTCTGTTAGAGAGCGGTGATTTCAGAAATACCTTCTCTCTGTGCCATATGGCCCCGTCTGCATCATGACCTTGATATTGTGATATATTGATCTGAGCCCTTCAGCAGGTGAATGTCATGGTAACAGTGGCAGAAAACAGAGAGGTCTGCGTTTGGACCGGAGATCACAGCGGGCTGAGCCCACACCTGCCTCTGTTGACCTTGGAGCTTCGCCCAGTGTCTCTGCGGCTCTGCCGCGCCTTTGCCCAACTGCACACATATCAACGGCCATCTGGCTGTTATTTAACTGAAGGCACTGAACCCAAGTTAGATTCAGTTTATATTGCATCTATACTCAGTCTTAAGCTTCAGGCTTTTTAAAGTTTAGCTGTTTATATTGAGCTTGATCTTTGAACTATATCGGTGAGATGTATGAACTATAGACAAAGCCACTTTTGTCAAGTTGTAAGTTTAAGTATTCAGTTGAATGTCTTTGTCTTTGTCATACTTGCATATGTAGCTATCCCACATATTTAATGTAAATATTTGGAAGGCCCCCACTAAAAGGTTCACCAGTGATTGATATGAAGACGCTTGATTAACGTACAGTTGATTTGCCAACAGTTGATTTCCCAGTGGTTGACTCACTAGTGTTGACAGTTGATTCACCTACAGTAGTTGATTCGCCGGTCATTGATTCAGTACCAGTTGATTCACCAGCGGTAGATAGACTAATGATGATGGTTGATTCACCTATATTTGATTCAACAGTGATTGATTTATTAACAGTTGATTCACCTACAGTTGAATCACAAATGGTTGATTTCGTACCAGCTGATTTGCCAAAAGTTGATTTGCCAGATGTTGATTCAACAATGATGATGATTGATCTGCAGTAGTTGATTTACCAATCATCGATCCGGTACCAACTGATTCACCAACAGTTGATTCAACATTGATGATGATTGATTGACCTAAAGTAGTTGATTTGCCAATCAATATTTCGGTACCAATTGATTCACCTACAGTTGATTCGCCAATCATTGATTTGTTACCGGTGGATTTGCCCAACAGTTGATTCACCATTGATGATGGTTGATTCACCCACAGTTGATTCGCCAGTTGTTGATTTGGTACCGGTGGATTTGCCAACAGTTCATTCACCATTGATGATAATTAATTGATCTACAGTAGTTGATTTGCCAATTGCTGTTTTGGGGCCAATTAATTGCCAACAGTTAATTCACCATTGATGATGGTTGACTCACCTACTGTTGATTCGCCAATCATTGATTTGTTACCGGTGGATTCACCCAAAAGTTGATTCACCGTTGATGATGGTTGATTCACCTACAGTTGATTCGCCAGTTTTTGATTTGGTACCGGTGGATTCACCAGTGATGATGGTTGATTCACCCACAGTTGATTCGCCAGTTTTTGATTTGGTACCAGTGGATTCACCAGCAGTTGATTCACCATTGATGATGGTTTATTCACCTACAGTTTATTCGCCAGTTTTTGATTTGGTACCAGTGGATTCAGCAACATTTGATTCACCAGCAGTTGAATTGCCAGTGTTGGATTAATCAACGATTGATTTGTCAACAACGGATTCATCAACATTTTATTTGCAGACAGCTGATTTGGTAATTGTTAATTCTTCAATGGTTTATTCAGAAACTACTGATATAAAAATGGTTGATTTGCCAGCATTTGATTTGTTAATTGTTATTTTGCTAGTGGCTGATTCATTAATGTTTATTCTGCCAGTGGATTTAACGGATCTGCCAAAAGACTGATTCAGCCACTTTATTAATAACGCAATTTAAATAGTTTCTATTCAAAAGTGCATGTTTCTTATATTGTTTTCAGGTGACATGTTGGACCTGCTGAAATGGAGAGTCCATCCGGACAGAATCATTGACTGCCTCTCCAAACTGAAGGACATTGATGGCACTGAAATTGTTAAGGTATAACCCACATTCAGCAACTTGCTTTTACCGCTGAAACTGCAGAAAGAGCATAGAATATTTCCCAAAAATTACTTTTTTGTCTCTCTATAACAATTGATTGTCACTGTATAGTTTTTACAGGACACTCTGGACACCTTGTTTGGGATTTTAGACGAGAGTCCACAGCGGTATGGACTAAAAGTGTTTGACTGCCTGGTGAGTGATGCCCTGTTCAAACCTTATGAATGTGAATGTATGAAATGTAGACACTGCAATGCTCTCAAGTTTCTAGTTTCCACAGATACACCACATATTTTGACTGCGAACTCGTACAAATTCATCCATCTCTTCCGCAAGGAGACGGTCTCTTGCCGTTAATGAGTACAAGATGCTTTCCTCATCTCTCCTGCACTGTGTTTCCACGGTTACATGCCAAATATGGCAACTCATAAAATCCATCTTAGACTTCTCTTGCTATATAATCCAACTCCTGTCCTCACATCCTCTTTATTTCAGGCAGAACAAAGTACTTCTAGATCAGAAAGCAGATTTTAAATAAACTCTGCATGATTGAGCATTCGTTAGGGTTGCGTGGGAAGTGTTTTGTACAGTAACTTTACTTTTTACATGGTTCTCTGGAATACCTGATTCTGATTGGTCAGTTGCTGCATTCTTCAGTCTGTTAAAAACAATTGTTGTTTTGGGCAAACCGATTTCCTACATAGCTGTGCTATTTTATGTGTCATATTCCATGGCCTCCTCCTTTTCACATAAAATAATTTAAATCCATCATGGCAATGGCACCTTTAAAGGTTCATAGACCATTTGAACAGTTGATTCACCCGTGTTTGTTTCAATGGTCTCAATGGTTGATGTGATGCCAGTTGATTCACCAATAATTGATTTACTACCATATGATTTACCAGAGGTAATTCATCTTATCTCATCTTAGACTTCTCTTACTATAACTCTTGTCCTCATATCATATGATTAAACTAGTATAATAGGCAGGATAATGTACATTAACAGTTGATTTGCCAATGGTTGATTTGTTCATGATTGATTCACCAATGGTTAATATGTTGACGGATGATTCGCAGACTTGATTAATTTAATTGTTAATTCCTTAGTGGTTGATTGGTCAACTACTGATATTTGCATCTGCCAAATTATTGATTCACCAGAGATTGGTACACTTATACGTGATTTGGAAAGTGATTTGGCTGTTCTTGATTTTGCTGGTCAGTAATTCAAAATAAACTCTGCCAAAGCCAAAGGGACTTATTTAGCTTAAATTATGTTAATAATTTTGCTATGGATATGCTTACAGCTTTATTGAAGTGATGATTTTCATTTTCTCCTCAGGTGCATGTTATAAATTTGCTGCAGGACAGCAAATTCCAGCTCTTCAAACCTGTAGTGGACAACTACATCGAGATCCACTTTGCTGGTGCTCTTTCCTACAGGTAAACACTAGGGGTTACAAATCGCGATTTATAAGACAAATGGTTTTAAATTGTCATTGGTTAAAAAACATTTTGCAGCTTTTAAAAACTGAAAAAAAATTCTAATGCGTGTACAATGTGAACTTTGTCAAAACGGATTGGGGGCAAGACATATTAATATCAAAATAAAAGTCTTGCAATCTAAAGATATAAAGAATAATCAAACATCATTAATGTTGGTGAAAAAGAGAAACCTTGCTCGCTGCTTTTTTTTTGGAAAATGTTAGTAGCTTAAGCCCTTTGAATGAAACCACTCTTGTCTGTGTTTTTATTTGTATTTTTGAAGCTATTAAATGAGTTGTTAGCATTGGTTGAATTTTTTAAGCCGTACATTTATAATTACACTTTTTTTGTAATAAATAAATATTTTAAGTATTTAAACAAAAATCAACATCCTGGACATCGAGAGCCAAAATGCATTTATACAAATTGCGTATATACTTAAATAGCAATAGAAATCAAAACGACAGCTAAATATCGCAATATAGAATCGGGAGATCTAGCAATTCCCAGCCCTAGTATACATGCTACACATGTAAAAATTGTGCGTCAGAGAATTTTGAATTTTGAGTTTTGAAACACTCAAAAAATCCTAGAACTCCTGTGGTGTTAATCTGAAATTGCATGTCATGCTTTTGGGAGAGTTGTGTTTGGTATCGTAGAAAGATAAAAGGTGTTTTATGTTGAGCTCCAGGCGTTGTATACTGTAACCCGTGGAGTTTCTCTGAGTTTCTAGGTCCTGTCAGCGCAGAGGGAGATGCAAAACACAGCGTAGTCTTGCTTTCATCTGTCATAACCTGTTTCATTTTACTGACTGCCGTTTTTGCACTGTATGTGTGGTCAGGAAGGTAATGTGTGTTGTCAAATAGTGTTTCAGATCTCAAGTTTAATTCAATAGGTTGATGCTCCTCAAAAGTCCTCTTTTGACTTTTTGTTGTTCTTTGTCTTGTATCGTAGAAAGATAAAAGGTGTTTTATGTTGAGCTCCAGGCGTTGTATACTGTAACCCGTGGAGTTTCTCTGAGTTTCTAGGTCCTGTCAGCGCAGAGGGAGATGCAAAACACAGCGTAGTCTTGCTTTCATCTGTCATAACCTGTTTCATTTTACTGACTGCCATTTTTGCACTGTATGTGTGGTCAGGAAGGTAATGTGTGTTGTCAAATAGTGTTTCAGATCTCAAGTTTAATTCAATAGGTCGATGCTCCTCAAAAGTCCTCTTTTGACTTTTTGTTGTTCTTTGTCTTTCTTTTCCTCCTAATGTTGGTTTTAACCTCTGCTCTCTCTTTTTCTTCTGAACCTTCTGCTTTCTGTCTCTCTCTGTCATGTTTGTCTTTGGCTGTGTTCTGTGTGTGTGTGTGGTGTTGTGTGTGGGCAGTGATGTGGTTTCTCTTCTGTAATGCGCTGAGGTGTGGAGCATCATGTCAGAGTTGAGGTGGATGTGGGCGGCTTGCTAAATACTCACTCTCGCGCTGTTCCCATCACCCAGTCCCTTAATGCTGTCCTGTGTTTCTGTCTCACCATGTCTTGGTCTGTCTCTATGCTCGCTCCCTCTTTCTCTTTTTCGTCTTAAATTGAATTGAATTGAATTGAATTGAATTGAATTTAATTTAATTTAATTTAATTTAATTTAATTTAATTTAATTTAATTTTTGTTTTGTTGTGATGCCTAAATTCAAACATATTTTTGTTATATTTTATTTTATTTTGCATTATGTGCATTAAGTGTATGTTTACATTTGTTATGATGTTGTGATGGCTAAATTCACATTATTTTATTTTATTTTGCATTATTTGCATTAAGCGTATGTTTACATTTCTTATGATGTCGTAATGCCTAAATTCAAACTATTTTATTTTTATTTTTATTTATTTGATTTTGTTTTATTTGACTTTATTATTTTTGCATTGTGCGTGTCAAGAGTATGTTTACATATTATTTCAAACTATTGTGCTTCAAAAGAGCCAAGGAAATCCCGGTTGATATGTTCCCTGTGGATTTCAGACAGGTTTTTTTTCACAGCCTATTTTCAGTTTAATGTTATTTGCTTTGTAACCATTCACACACACACACATCTTCACACAGTGCCGTTTCTCCCAGCATGCTCAAAGACACACTAAGGTTAATCTGCAGTCAGGATGGATACTGTGGTGATGAGGGCCTGTTTTTCTCAGTGTATAGTGAAAAAACTGAGCCGCTGGGTTCAAACTGTGTGTCAGTATTCCTAAAGCCTCTGAAGTAAATGCAGCTGATGATGTTGACAGATTATTTACTGCTGTTATCACTAGTGAATAAACAATTAAGGTCACATAGTAGTATTCACATTTGCAACACTATTTAAGCAGTGTGAAATAAGAGGTCTGTTTTATGTAATTTATGGTACAATCTAGGTGAAAAAAGCTAATCTTTTCTAACTGAACAGATTTGAATTGATAGAACAGAACATGTGTAACTGAACCGAGTTGAACTGAAATGAGCTGAACTTAATCAAATTAATTGGTTCTATCTGAACAAAGCTGAATTAAAGAAAATTAAATCAAATTTCAAACAGAACAGAAAAAAGCTCAACTAAATCATTTTGAATCACATTGACTCTGGAAACAGGACACAATTGAATCAAATGTAACAACAGATTTAAACTGATAGAACAGAGCTCACTGAACTAAACAAAAATGAGTTGAACTGATTTAAACCAAGCTAAACTTAATCAAACAAAACTAAATCAAATTGAGTTGTTTCTAGCTGAACAAAGCTAAATTCTATTCAATTTAATCAAAGCAAACAGAACAGAAAAAATTGAACTGAACCGATTTGAATCACTTTGAATTGAATTAAATTGAATCGACAGAACAGACTGAGCTAAACAGAAACAAACTGAACTGAACCAAGATTAACTTAATCAAACAAAACTAATTTGAATGGAATCAAGATGAACCAAGACGAATTGAATCAAAACAGAAAAGAACAGAAAAACTGAACAGAATGTTTTTTAACAAAACAAACACAACAGAACAAAATTGAGTCTAATCAAACTGAATTGAGGGATGTGTAGTTCAGCCAATATATTCATATTAACAGCCAGATCTTTGTAAATATAAATAGGATAAATAATATAAAAAAGGTACAGTTCTTGGTTAATATTTTTGGACTCTGTAATATTTTCAAGGCAGTTGATTTTAGCACAATCACAACATATCTTAAAATTAGTGAGGTGCTACAGTGTGTTTAATTAAGATCTAATTGGATTTTAAATGAAATCTGTAGGGGGAATGAGAGCTGGTATTACGCCGTGGTTAACATTAATTGCAATCCCATGCTGGGAATGTTAACATTTTCCTCCTTACGGCCAAATTACTCTCCTGGGCTTCCAAAATCAACAAGAACCTCATAAAAGACCCAGTTTTCCTCCTATTATTTTTCATTTGTTCTTAATCACAACATCTCACTTTATAAATTAAGCAAAAAACAAAAGTTTAACCAAAAGGAAACTAGCCTCAATCTTTTTCTCAGGTTTTCCCAGATTTTGACCTACTGTACACACTATCCACAGAAGCACAGTCCTTCTGACACAGATCTTGGTGGATTGGACCCTAAGGATGTTTTAAACAATTTGAATGAGTTTTGATTGGCAACAGAGACCATTAACCCAGAACGTTCAGAGTCTGTTTACAAAGTGTCCTGGCGGCTGCATCAAGTATTCATGAAGACCTGTGCACTCTAACAGCATTGATTCATTATGACCATCATTTAACATCTCAGATGTTTCATCGCTTGAGTGTGTAAGTCCCCTTATGGGATAAACAGGACCTTTATTGATCTTGTAAAAACATTCAACCTGCCAGCGCCCGCTGATTCTGGTGATCAGTTTCAAAACCTTACAAAACCTGTTAACAGCATGAGCAAATTTTAAGATATACTGTAAAGCATGTGTCAGATTTACTTCATATACTTGAGTAGGACATATTCCTTGGTCACCCTGGAATAACATCCATACAAATCCGATATTAGGAATAGCTTTAAATTTGGGCACTGAACAACTAATATCAAAGATATTAGTGTTAATTCTAAATGCAGTAATAATATTGTGAAGACAAAAACTAGCAGTGTAAAAAAAATAAATTGTCAAAAACGAAAAAAAAAAAAAACCTGTACTAACAATATTAAACAAAATACACTATACCATTCAAAAGTTTGGGGGTCAGTAAGATTTTTTTAATTAATACTTTTAATACTGCGATCAATAGTGACAGTAAAGATATTTAAAATGTCAAAACATTTTCATTTCAAATAAATGCTGTTATTTTGAACTTTCTATTCATTAAAGACTCTTGAAAAATTTTTATCACGGTTTCCACAAAAATATTAAGTAGCACAACAAATGTTTCTTGAGCAATAAATCAGCATATTAAAATAATTTCTGAGAGAACATGTGACACTGAGGACTGGAGTAATGATGCTGAAAAGTCAGCTTTTTCATCACAGGAATAAATTACATTTTAACATATATTAAAATAGAAAACAGTTATTTTAAGTTACAATAATATTTCTGTTTTTACTGTATATTTAATACAATTTTTAGTGAACATAAGAGACTTCTATCAAAAATATTACAATGTCTTCAGACCTCAAACTTTTGAACGACAATGTATATTTATTTTAAAATAATACTTTTCCTAGGTCTGTTCATTTATTTACATTTTGAATTGAGTTTTATGTAATATAATGTAAATATGTCAGATCATCAAATTAAATTACGATTAATCACATTTATCATTATTTACTGAGAAAGCCATTTATATTATATTTCAAAAACATAAAAAAATATCGTACTGACCCCAGGCTTTTGATCAGAAGTGTAAACCTTTATTTGCCATTAAAACTAAATGAATAACTAAAATATAAAGTAGAGAATAAAAAAAAACAAACATAAAAAACTTAAAGGTACATGCAAAAATTTTCCCATGCATTTTTCTTTTACCTGCAGATGTCATTTTATGTGATCTATAAAATCTTGAGCGCTGCCTATGAATAATTTGTGATATGATGCATTTTCCCTGCAGGACAAACAGAAACGTACAGCATTCACACATAAATACATAGCATTAAACAAACATTGCCCTTGATGTCTGATGTTCACGGCTTGTGTCTGCAGGGATCTGATCCGTGTGTTGAAGTGGTATGTGGATCGTATCATTGATGCCGAGCACCAGGAACAGATCCAGCAGGTTTTGAAGGTGAGAACACTAACATATTATGCTTCATTCAGGATGTATGTTACAGTATGTATGCAAATCTATGAGGAAACATATGCACCCTATCTCTCTCTCTGTCGGCCCATCATGTCGGGGTTAAACCTCACCCCCTGCTGATCTTCTGAGCTTCCTCCCCAGCAGTTATGAATACCCTTGATGCATCTGTTCTAGCTCTCCAGCCTCTCTCACCCACAGAAGTTCTTTTCTTACCTGTCATGCAATTAAGCTATAAACATTCGGTCTTTTCTTTTGTTCATTTGCCCATTTTGCTTTCATGACCTGCCGTGGGATCACCAGGCTCATTCTCCAAATGCATCCACGCGCGTTTACAATCTTCAAAGGTGTTATTTGAAAGCAATTCCCAATTTCTTACCTTGAACCCTTTTAAACCTCTTTGGGCACAATGTGTGCCATTCATCTTTTGGTGTTTTTGCTCTTTCTAATTGAAATATTTAAAAAACAGAAAATGCACTTCACACAATGTCTCCAGGTTTGACTTTCCTTCCTTCCAGTTTATTTATTTATTTATTAAAAATAGTAAATAAACAGTTTATGCATCCCATTATATTCCGTATGTTAAATTAAAAAAGGCCTGCCTGTAAATTTTCAACATGTTCAAAACTTTGCTGAAAAATGTGTTGTCTCTACTACGTCTTCTGTTGTCTGATTGATAGTTTATATTTTTTTAGCAAGTAAAATGCCTTTTAGTGTAATTGTAATATAAAAGGTAAACATAAGAGTAATTTTTATATTGTTATTAATATTTCAAGATGAATATTTACTGGACTTAAGCAACTTACTGTACATTTACTTGATTATCCATACTCTGCTTTTTAGAAAAATCATGATAAAATGCCAGTGTCAGGTTTTGAGAAACATTTATTTGTACATCTCTCAATCATCATCGTATTGCATTGCATTATATTTAGCATGATATGTTTATTTCAATAACAGTTGTTTGATATCATATGCTCGCAGGCATCTGAGTACTTGTTTAAGTACATTGTGCAGTCCAGGCGTCTGTACGTGGCGGCCACGGGAGGCCAGAACGAGGAGGAATTTTGCTGCTCTGTTCACGAACTCTTCAAGTCCATCCACCTGTTCCTGTCACATGAGAGTAAAGGCATCAGCCCCATCACACACACACAGGTGAGACACACACACACAAGCCTGTAGATTTAAACATTTGTACTGTACTGAGTGATGAGAAAACAATATTCTAGCACTTGAGCATACTACACCAGCATACAATTGCATTTTTACAACCTGAAGTGGTCCCCCCCCCCC